TACTCATACATAAATTAAGTAAAATCTGTGAAAGCAGACACTCACAGATAATTTTTTTGTGTGTACATATGAATGTGTATCCTTATTATTTTAGTTATAGATATTAAATATTTGCTTCATATATTTCAGGGGTGAGATAATAGTACCAACTGAGAATATGTTCTCACTATTTAAGGCAGCTCGAGTTCTTCAAATTTCTGATTTTTCCACCATTGATGCCACTGGCTTAAGCAGACCTGGTGCATCTTCATCATCCAGTAACACACAGTTCACACATAATGTTGAGACAGCCACACCAACTGGAACACTAGATATTGATGAAACAGCCACACCAACTAGAACACCAGATATAGGTGATACAGCCACACCAACTAGAACCAACCAGTCCTGATGGAGTAAGGGCCTGTACAAGGAGAAAGGATGATATTAATAAGATACAGTCATCTAATAGAATTCAAAAGTGCACAGTATCATCTGCCACTGACCATCTGGACAAAAGTCAGAAACATATACACATTTGGGCAAACTATACTGCAGTGGACACTGAAGACCCATTAGATATTAGCAACCATAAAGAGATCAGAAGGTGGATCTTCATCTGAGCAGACAAAAGACAAAAGCTCATTCCTGGAAGATCTTCCTGTATTTTTACCTGATGGAGAAACCCTATCAAGTGACATAGATTGTGACTATTTAGAACATGAAAAAGTAAGTTCCATTAATTTCTTCCTAAAAATGACAAAATGTTATCTTTGACTCATATTTTAATACTTAAAGTGAGTGCTGAAAATTATGAAGAATATATAAAATTAATAGATTTAATGATAAACTGCCTCTATTTGTATATACAACTTTTGAAAGAAATCTTTCAAGTTGAATTATTTAATTTTCAATTGTGGAAACCCCTACTTACATCTACAATGGCATTTCATTTTGGTTTTGGGTAAAAAAAAAAAAAAAAAAAAAAGATCTGAACAAGTGGAATTGATTAAACAAAACATACCCAGATCCTACCACTTAATCTTCTTTCTTTCTTTCTTCTTCTTTTTTTTTTTTTCTTCTTTTTCTTTTTTTCGTTTTTTTTACTAGAAAGGTTCATGGTACATAGTCTTCCTCCTCTTTATGGGGAATTACAGCAAATGAGATGTATTGACTTAACACTTTTATTCATTGCAGGAATTCATTGACTCACAGCTTCATTATCAAGGGAGTGAATGGGTTTTTCATCAGGCTCCAAGCATAATATCTGGTGAACTGAATAATGATGCCACAAGCCCGCTGCATATTAAAGAAGAGTTTAACTAAAACAGCACGATTATTGTTACTTGTTCAAAATAAATATATATTTTAAATGAATTTCGAACTTGTATTCATTTGAATATGTAGAACAGATCGTTAAGGAGGCAGAATAATCATTAGTATTGGAATGTCAATTATTCATTTACACATGAAGTTTAAATATCTCTTGAGGATATTTGTCTTGGAAAAAGGATTTCTGACCTGTAGTTGTTTTGTTTATGCTGTTTGATTACATTGTTTTAATATTTAAGATTTATATACCAAATAGAAATATAATTGTATAAAATTGTATCTTTTGGAAATAAATATATAATATATTTTGAATGTTTTTATTAACATTGACAGGATATGTGAGTAATATTTAAAAAAATATTAATGTGTGTGCGTGTATGCGCTCCCAACACCCCTTCACTACTGTGCATATCAACAGTAACCCACAATGCAGGAAAAGGATGTGATAGAATTTCAGTTAAACTTAATAATTTTGGGGAAGTGCTTTTGAAGAAACATATCACCTCTTACATCACACATTACTGGCAAAAAAAATAAATTAAGGAACAAAAGGATCAGAAACTATTATGCTTGCATCAACTACTAACCTAATTACAAGTGAGAGAGAGAGACAGACGATGAACTCTGAATTTTTATGCCATAAATAAAAGTCTTATTCACAAATACGTATAACATTACACGGCAATAATACACAAATGCCTCCTTTTTCCAACTCAAAAAGAGGCAAATAATGCAAACTTAGTAAGATTTTCTGTTGGCGCTCAAAGTATAGCAACGGTCACACTAGTCGCGTATAGGGGATAGATGGGTATGCTGAATGCCGGTCAGATAAAGTTTGGTTAATATTATACAGTGTCCCCCCGCAGAGAATCATTGTTCTAGCCAGTCTTTACAAACGAAACCAATAGCAGTCGTAGGATTCTATGAGTATCATGACATGCAACAGATATGAGGACACTAAAATTAGAAGAAAAAAAAAACTTACTACCCATTTTATTGAATATCATACGTCATACAACCGTGACAGATACCCCGATACCCCATATTTCAACAAAAAATGTCGACAATATATGCCGCCATTATCATATTCAACGGTGTACGAGAGACGTAATTCTGGATTTAGATGAAATGAAGTTAGGAGGAAGCAAATATTATAACTGAAACTGAATAAAATGGTAATTCTCAACCGTACCATTACAATAATGCAAATCAAAGTTCCTTTGCTAATTCCACTCTTTGCGTTTACATGAGGTACCGATGTCTGTTGCAATAAACAGGCCTTATCAGCAATTTCTTGCAGCTGTTTGAAATATTTTGCTGCCGAATTTCAAGTGCCAAGCTCTTCATCAAACTCATCAACATGCATGGGCAACCCACACTCGAATAGGCAAAATACCAAATACATCTATTTATTTGGTAACTCTTCATTTGGCATTGTATGAACAACTCCGGACAGACACTCAGCACGTCTGTTCGGAGTTCCCGATTGAACGAGTAGCGTGACTGTTGCTTTCAAGTTGCTTTTCCCTTCAACGACGGTCACACTATTCGCGTACAAGTGTGGATCCCTGAATAGGCACGCTGAGTGTTTGGTCAGGTACAGGGAGGTAATTTTATACAGTGCCGCCTCTAAATAAAGAACTATCGTCCCAGAAAAGACCAGCGTCTAATATATCCTAAATGCAAGGACGTCAATTGTGTGCGTGCGCGTGTGTGTGTGGGGGGGGGGGGGGTAGCATCAGCGCAATGATCGATTGAATTAAAAAAAAAAAGAAGAAGACATTAAACTCAGAAAAGCCATTCCACACAGTATACTAATTATCATACGTCACACAGCCGTTCCAACTACCCCAATACCTCATATTTCAACAGAAAATACGAGGATAAATCTTCCAATAACACATGTACCTTATTGTAATCAATAATGATGATTTATTTGGCTTATGAAGAACTACCATAATGTATTCAGTAAATTTAATTATTGCATTAATATATTTCGCATTATCACCATTTATGTACAGTCGTGTGAGTTTATAATTAAATTTTAGCCACATACACAAGCATTCAATCGACTGCATATGATGTTATGAGCCTAAAAATATGCATGTTTTTATAATCTTGCGTTTTAATCAGATAACTTCAGCTATAAAATATATTTAAAATCTTGCATGAGTCATCAATTAAAACTTATTACAATAAAATACAAGAACTATGTTTAGCCATTTGGCTAGAGGTTTGAATCTGCCTTGTAGGCCTATTTAAGCATCCCAGGAAACTTATTTCAAGTAATTGCAAGCAACTGCCAATGAGGGCCCTGTAGATCTGGGTGTAGATCCCACAAGATCCTAGTCATTAAATCTGTAACAAGATGAAAATACATACAAGGTTGTATCGTTTTGTTTTTTCTTTTTTATGTAATTGATATTCAGTCAGCTTATATACAAAGAGGATTTAGAGCAGTATATACGTGAACTGTTAATTTTGCATTGCCTACGAGCTTTCACATCCACATTTGTAACTGGTAAAATTCTTTATCAATGCATGCGTGGACCAGGGAATCGGAGTAGGTGCCGCGATTGTTACAATCGAGCCTCTTTTATTTATATTCTCGATTTATCACATACCATTAAACTGATATTGTGCACTTTTAACTTTACTTTAAGCAGTTAGCAATATCTGTGAGTAAAGTTTGAGTTTGTGTGAAAAAAATAGTATAATTATAGTTGTATTTATATTTATTTTTACAGATTAACAATGTTATTAATTAAAAATAAACAGTGTATATATATATTTTTGTATTATTTGCTATGCCCGTTTCAAAATGTATTTCGGGTAACGTTTTGAAACAGCGATAAAGCCGTGAATTGGGTTGTTTGCTTCTCACGTTCAGGAAGGATGTCCCGGCAGCAACATACCTCGTCTGATGAACGCCTTCTGTTAATTTCTCTTTTAAGGAGAAGGAATCAGTTCTACTTAGTAAGAAGGCAGAAGGAAAGTAAGTCGAATATAACATTTAAATATAACCTTCAGTTTCACAATAATCGCTGTAGAGAAAACAGGTTCGCGACCGATATACTCTTACTTGATTAAAATTATTCTTTTTATTGATCACTTTGTTTCCTTAGCTCTTTCCAAGCATAACATGGAAGGGGTATAATAACCAAATTATTATAATAACTTTTGTGTCAAATATAAAGAAAGATCTTGTTCGTCGCTTTGTCATCAGGTTCCTATTGGTGCAAGATTATCCTTTTGGTATTGCAATCCAGCGGAGACAAGAAAATACCTACTTTACGTTATATATTTTTTTCTAGGGTATTAGAGCTAGAATTGGTTCCTTATTTAAGGACCACTTGCCTTGGAGGCCTAGGCAAGGGCTAAGCAGCAATCACTTTACATCTTATCGCTTTATTCATCAACAATATTGTAATTATAGTTGACTTAAGTGAACCAAAACCGTTTCTGATTAATGTACATGGAGTGACAGCCATCGTAATGTCTTTGATTCATTGAGCATTAGTTTGTTATGATATTGAAACGAAATAGATTTTTTGGAAAATTAACCGATTTTTTTTATTGGGGGGGGGGGGGGGGTAGGGAGATGTGCAACATAATCTGCAGTTCATTTAGGCCTTAAAACATGTAAGAACAAAATGTATTTTGTTCAGACTTAGAAAAAAAACAGTAATTTCCGTAACCTCCACTCTGGCAAAGGCCAACAACCATCGACCCCTTATATCGTAACATGACAAAAACTCGTCTTATTTTTCTCCATGTTTGTTGATTGTCACGTGACCTGTTGTTGCTTGGTGAAAGGGTGTTCGGTTATTATTTTAGTGTCGAAATTTGGATAGTAAGGTAATCGAGTATCGGTTGGTTGTTTATGAAAATTGGTGGAAAGTGTCCTAGAAAATTACTTATTTAATAATGCCCTGTGCAGTACAATTTAAGATAATAGTGTTAAATATTGAAAAAAAAAGATAGCTAAACTATCTCGGTACTTTTAAAACCGTGTGTGTGTGCGCGTGTGTGCATATGTGTATGTATGTAAAAATGATCATATACCCACAAACCATTCCTCTTTTTTTCTTGGCAGAAAGGCCCTTTCGAAGGCCAAGGCATGGGAGGACATCACCAGTGCCCTGAATGCTGCGGCTCTGGGTCCACCCAGGAGCGTCAAGCAAACGAAGAAGCTCTGGGAAAATATGAAAGGCAGGCAAGTTTTACAACAATAGATTTATAACAGATATTAATTTAAACGGAAATATGGCAAAGTGATGGATATGAAGCTACAAAAGTTTCTGAACGTGTTGAAATGCCCCACATTATTATGTTAGAAAAGGTAAAATGGTGAATTCCAAGATATCTTTCACTAAATATGACAATTCGAGATGAGAAATCCCTCCAGAATTTATAGGAACATATTTTTCTGTATTGTACCCGCCACAATCCTCTCCCTATCCCTCTCTCTCTCTCTCTCTCTCTCTCTCTCTCTCTCTCTCTCTCTCTCTCTCTCTCTCTCTCTCTCTCTCTCTCTCTCTCTCTCTCTCTCTCTCTCTCTCCTCTCCCTATCCCTCTCTCTCTCTCTCCTCTCCCTATCCCTCTCTCTCTCCCCTCTCCCTATCCCCCCCCTCTCTCTCTCTCTCTCTCTCTCTCTCTCTCTCTCTCTCTCTCTCTCTCTCTCTCTCTCTCCCTCTCTCCCTCTCTCCCTCTCTCCCTCTCTCCCTCTCTCTCTCTCTCTCTCTCTCTCTCTCTCTCTCTCTCTCTCTCTCTCTCTCTCTCTCCCCCTCCCTCCCTCCCTCCCTCCCTCCCTCTCCTCTCTCTCTCCTCTTCCTTCCCTCTCTCTCTCTCTCTCTCTCTCTCTCTCTCTCTCTCTCTCTCTCTCTCTCTCTCTCTCTCTCTCTCTCTCTCTCTCTCTCTCTCTCTCTCTCCTCTTCCTTCCCTCTCTCTCTCTCTCTCTCCTCTTCCTTCCCTCTCTCTCTCTCTCTCCTCTTCCTTCCCTCTCTCTCTCTCTCCTCTTCCTTCCCTCTCTCTCTCTCTCTCTCCTCTTCCTTCCCTCTCTCTCTCTCTCTCCTCTTCCTTCCCTCTCTCTCTCTCTCTCCTCTTCCTTCCCTCTCTCTCTCTCTCTCCTCTTCCTTCCCTCTCTCTCTCTCTCTCCTCTTCCTTCCCTCTCTCTCTCTCTCCTCTTCCTTCCCTCTCTCTCTCTCTCCTCTTCCTTCCCTCTCTCTCTCTCTCCTCTTCCTTCCCTCTCTCTCTCTCTCCTTCCTTCCCTCTCTCTCTCTCTCTCCTTCCTTCCCTCTCTCTTTCCCTCCTTCCTTCTCTCTCTCTCTCTCTCTCCCTCCCTCCCCCCCCCTCTCTCTCTTTCTCTCTCTCTTAATTGTCAAAACCATGGTTACCTATTAACCCAATAAGCGCGGGTGACAGGACTGCAATGCCAGGCCCACTGTAATAAAAGTTTTATCTATTGTGTTTTACGCATAGAAGGCCCTACAAGTCCTTAGTCACCAAGGAGTCAGCTATTAGTCTTACCTATCTCATCTGTTTACCCTTTTCCTTCATTTTTTGAAAGCTTTACTTCTATTATTTTATTGCCGTTGATGTTACTAATATTTTAATAACATTTTAATAATCATAATATCAGTAAGAATGATGATAATGTCAATGTTAATAGTATTGGAAAGAAAAAAACACATTTTCCCGCCAATTCAAGGAATGTGGAAATCAGGATCGGTCACTTGGACCAACTGATGACTCCTTGCTGCTGAGCTCACGTGGAGCCATCTGTATGTAACAAAACTCACTAAAATCTAAACGGGGCAGTAAGTAAACCCGCTGACATTGGGTTAAAAGCTGTACATACTGAAAATAGCAGTAACAGATACGATTTAGCACTTTAGAGTATCCTAATCTGTGGTATTAGTTGCAACAGATCAGAATTTCATCGTCATTACATTGTCTAGCATGTCTAAATCATGACTAATTTCAGAAATGTGGAAAAGCATCATTTGCAATTCTATTCTCTCACGCAGAGCTAAGAAACTGTATAAAAATGAGAGTAATAGGACTGATGGAAGTGGCCCTCCTCAGTATTGTGATATGATATCTGCCAAGGTCATTGACATCATTATTTAAGACCTAAAGAGTGACGTCAATAGCAAAGACGTAAAGAATGAATCAACATGTGAAATGGATGGCAATGGTAAGCTCAGTTACAGGGTCTTTAACATTGAGATCTAAGTACGTAATATTAAGAATGGTAGTAATGCGATATTGTAATATTGGAATATTTGTGCGGTAATGTTTATATCACTACAATTTTACACTTTCGATATTCTTTCAGGAACTGGCTGTAGTGGAGTTAGCCAGCCTGAAATAAGTCGTGTCAGGGAGGAGGGCCAGGAGAGCTTCATGGACGTAAATGCTGAAGATGAGGGGACTCTTGGCTCAGACTATACTGCCGTCACTGATGTTAATAAAACTGTAGGACAGTTATCTCCAGCCGACAGTGACTCGCCTGATTTAGGTGATTCCAGAATATCATCTATACCTAACATACAAGATCCATTTTATCTGCCACCTTCTGAGTTAGAAGACAAGAAGCCGACGTTTTCTAACTGTCAAGTGTCAGATATTGATGAGAACGTGTCAACTGCTGCGAACCCCTTGTCCAACAGTCCTGAAAGACCAGCATTTTCGGGCAGCCAGGTGTCAGATACTGATGAAAAGGTGTCAACTGCTGCTGACCAGTTATCCAAGAGCACTGAAGGGCCAAAATTGGGTTTTCGCTTATCAACAGAGGCCACCACATCACGTGCTGCTACTCCATTGCGAAAGCGGCTCAAATTCTCTGAAGAAAGCTACAACACATCAGCTGCTCTTAAAAACAAAGAACATAAAATGATTATGAACGTTCAGAAAGCTAAACTACAAGCTCAGGAAGCAAAACTTAAACATTTAGATAAGCAGGAACTGATTGACGCTGAAAAGCTGAAACAGATGCAAATGCAATCTCTCCTGAATGCGCACTTGCTGGAATCAGTAACACAGTGGAAGGAGATTGCAGTATCTGTACAAGAAACGGTGGAGAAACTGAAGAACTTTTATCAAGTGGGTAAGTAAAGTTTGCTTATACCTTTTTATTTTAACCTGTTTATGCTTGCGGGTTTCCTATGTAATCTCTTTGGAAGCCATTGTTTTAGATACCTGATGGAATTCATGTATCCTTTGAACAATATACCAGTACCTTCCCCTTAAGCTCCATAGCCTGAAAGAGCCAATTTGCCCTAACGTTAGTCTTTCTCATGTATTGCAAAGATGTGAAAATGTGAATATGCTCTGTTATTCGACTCCTGATTTCTATAGAGTGGAGGTTATAGCAATGTTTTCTGTGAATGAGTAAATTATGAGGATAAGTGCACATAAGTTGTTTTTTTAGATTTTTTTTTCTAGAGTATATTGGTATAGAAAATCTATTACTTAGAAATAGATAGTATTTGTTGAGATTATTTTGAAAATTGATCATATAAATTCAATAATAGTCCACTTGGTAACATACAAGAGCAAACACAATGCTTTATATGCTAGTTAGACTCGTAAAAAAACACCATCATTCAGTATGCACATTCATCACTGAAGTTGGCTTTTACCAGTTTCTTTGATGGAGCAGTGTCAAAGATAAACTGCGTTAGTTACAGCATTATAGAAATCCTTTGCATTTCCTATTTTATCTCCACTGCATATCATTTCCCAAAACAAATATTGTGATTAGATTTTCTTCTTTAGGAGAAACTTCTATGGCAGATAAAAACTTTAGAAAAGGAACTCCCGTGACTAAGAAGTCTGTAGATGGAAGTGTGCATCTGAAGCCAAAGGAGAGCTCGTCCTCAGTCCTGGAGTCTCTGTATGAAGATTCGGCATTTGCAGATGTAACCTTAACAGCACAGGGACAGTCAGTGAGGGCACATAGGGTAAGTCTGCGGTGGTATCATTCCACATTTCACTAGGATCGTGCAAAAGAACGAGGCCATAATATACGTTTTGTGTGGATCTCATCGCATGTTGGAATCCCTAGGCATGATCATGCTGATCGCCTAGCAAAGTCAGCATGTGACAAACAAAGTGTAGATATAGATCTTGGGTTACCTCTTTCTAGGATTTTATACACCATTAAAGCTTCCTTCAAAGAGGACTTGACTGAATTGATTAATTCTCAACGCCCCGAAAGCTGTTGCATAAAGCACTATGACCGGTTTAGACAAGATTCATTCAACTATGGTTTATATAAAACAAGAACAAGACAGTGTGATGTTGTGACTGCAAGAATCAGGCTTGGATATAGAATGTATTGGCAGGTCAGTACAGCTTGTAATGTCGAAGAAACTAAGTGTAAACTGTGTAATGAAGAATATAAGCGAACACTTGTACATTATATCTCAGAGTGCCATGTGCTACAGCCTTTCAGACCACCTAGCATGTAACTACTTCATATCATCTGATCTCTCAGAAGATATAATTATGTTGTATCCTAAATTTGGAATGTAGTACCACATGACTGCATATCAAATGTTTTAATACTTTTCCACGCCCAAGCTATATGCCGGTGTGGTAGATGAGTACCCAAAGGACTGTGCAACTATTTCCCTTCCTTGAATTGACAAAGTACTTATTATCATAACAATGTTATAGGATA